CCCTGTACTTGCCACTGGGTTTGTAGTGGGGGTCCTCTCATTCTTACGAGATTCTTATTAGAAGTCCTCTCATTCCCATTAGATTCGGAGTGAGAATTGTAAAAGTGCTTACGGGATTTTCAGAAGGAGTCATCTCATTACTATTAGATGTTAAATAGGACTCATTGCTATTAGATTGTCAGGAAGAGGCCTCTTACTCCTATTTGGTGGTTTTTCGTAGGAGTCTATCAAATTCTGGATAAGAAAGAGTCCAGGAGTTCTCACTGTTATCACCTTCGGACCAGGAGCCATCTCCTTCTCATTAGACTTTTCTAATTCCAACCGTTCTTCACGGGGGCCCTCTCATTCCTACTAGATTCCTAACCCTTGCTGTTCAACAGTCAGCATGTGTCCTTTCATTCCTATTCGATTTTTTGAATGGGGGTCCTCTCTGTCCGAATAAGATCTTAACCAGAGTCCCTTCCTTCAGATCAAAATCTGAATAGTAGTCTTGTCACTCCTAGTAAAATTTTCGAACGGAATCTTTACCCCCAATGAGATTCTCAATAAAAGTCCGCTCATGGCCATCAGAATCTCACGCAGACTCCTCATTTCCATTTGATTCATCAGAATTATTCTCATTCCCATTAGAGTGTCTGATTAGAAGTCCTCTCGTTCCCAAAAGATTCATAATAGACATCCTCCCATTCATTAGCATTGTTGTGAGTAGACACCAAAAGGTAATTCCCAAATAAACCCAATTGGTCCATGGCACATAGGGGCTATAGTGGGTCTATATAGGGAGATCTAATCTTTAGACTGGGCTTGGCAATTTTTGCCATCGTGGTCCGCGCCATCCCCAGCTTCTGATGGCAGGGGTGACACTCACAGAGAGATATGGCCACATGAGCTACGGACAAAATCTAGGCTGGGGGGGACCGAGAGGGGAATATACCGGGTTTTGGGGGGGACCTAGTAAGGGATATACTACAAATTGAGTCCAGGGCTCATATGGCCACATGTGTTTTTCCTTTGGAGAGCTCTGGTATTGTGGCGACCATATAGCTCTTACCCAGACAGAGGTTTTTGCAACTCTACACTCTAAACCTTGAGCATGATTCTGGCTTGAGACTCCAGTGGAGCTTCATCTACAATCCTTCAGAAATTCCGGTAGGGCCGAACATGCGCGCAGATTCCGTCGTTTGCTAATCCATGGTATTTTCCATTGTGGGGGTATTACAATTTTCCAAAAAAGGAACCCTAAACCTACGAATCCCAATGTAACCCTTACACTAACCCACATGGTAGTCTCCCAAATAAGGGGACCCCGATGAAGACCCCAAAATACTATAGTCCTTATTATGGGGACCCCCACAATGGTACCCCTAATTTTTGGAAACCCCCATCTAATCTCAGAGGGGTATCATCCCAGATTCAGGATCCCAATCTCGGAAACCCCACAAGCCCAAGTTCGAAACCTGTCTGTCGCCCAATAGGCTATAGTCTACCCTCCTTAAAGGGGGTTCGTAGAGGGTATTATATAGGGGAGTAGTTTGAGGATTATTAAGGGGGATAATTACCAGGCGTTTAGATTATTGTTCATATACCCCATTTGATCTTTTTGGGGACCCCTCATTGTAGGGGTATAGACCACATTATAGTAGTTTCCATTATCCCAATATAGCCCCAATATATCATAGTAGTATCCATTTTCTTTTCCATTATCCTTAAACCCTAAACCCTCAAGGTTCCCGTTCAGCTGCCCGCCCGATCGGCAGCGCGCGCCGAGCGCCCCTCCTCGGCCGCTGCAGCTGCAGAACTCGGAGCCAAGCCCTGGAAGGCCAGCTACAAAGGGGTTGTAGAGGGGTGTAAGGATGTATAGGGCTTATGTTTTTCGGGTTTAAGTTAGGGTCCAGCCCCCAAGTTTCGACCCAAAAATGGAGAATCGCATGGAAAAGCACATGGAGACTGAAATGGAAACCCTCCGCCGTGTCATCATCGGTTGAATGTGGCCAGTGGGTGTCAGCTTCGACCGCATTTTCTATGGAAAAGATTCTGCAGATATTGCGAGTCAAGCTTCACAAAGTCTTAGGCTTCTGGGGAGACCAGTGTCGTGGTAAGGCAATTGTAGCTGAGTTTAGGGCTTCCCATGGTAAGACTGTCGCAACTGGACGGGTTGTGAACTCTCACTTCATTACTCATGGCTGAGCCCTGCCCTATGCTGCCAGAAGCGCGGTGCTTACGATCATCGCCTCCCGCCCGACCTGGCGAATCTGGCATCTTGCCTGATCTGCCCAGAGGCAGCTTCTGAAACAATTGTTCATCGATTTTCTCAGGAACAACCGGTACGTGTCTGTTTTTCTCCGGGCCTTGTCAGCTGCTAGTTTCAACTTAGGTGACTCCAGGGCCTGGTGCAGAAGAGGCACCAACCCAGAATGCACATAAATTGGATGGGTTGCCATTCCACACACAAAGTACCAAGTTCTGGTGCCTCTTTCGCGGATTCAGACACTCTGGCTCCAAAAGGTTTCGGTAGGGACTATTTAGAAATTTCAGGTAGTATCAGCTTCCATTTGCTGTTCCATTCGATCTGCGTTTCAAATAAGCGTGTCAAAGGGGGGAACGGAAATAGAGTGTGACATTAAACTTTGTTTGCAGATCCTGGATAACAATTTTGCCGCTAGATAAGTCCAACGGTTTCGAGAGAGAACCTCGACCCCAGGTACTAGGTCCCCCACCCCTCAAAAACGCACAAGTCTTGTCATAGGGACCGGAGCTGTTACTGCACGACTCCCAACTTGCCATGGCTGCGATTTGGAGGCTACTGCCCCTGCTGTTTCTCCTTTGTCACGGCGTGGAAGCTAAAGCCACCAAAGGAAAGAAGCGCGCAAAGCCCAAATCTTCGGAAAGAAGTTCGTCGCAGGATTCATCTTTTGGTTGGAGCAAGCTCATGCAGCAAATCTTTGATTACGCAGATCAAAATTTGAACGCCTCTTTCGAAAGCCTTTACAACCTTACAAATTCCTCTCTATCTGCGGAGTGGCTGGCCGAGAAGCTGCAAGAGCTGTGGGAATCCAACTTGCAAGGCCGCATCCTCGCACCATGTGAGGCCTGGTGCAATGACAACAAAAACCTGGAATATCTGACTCGCCATGAGCTTGTTGCGAAAGCAAAGAGCCACCAATGTGGGTGGAACGCTCTGAGTGGCGCAGCGACCGGGGCCATTCCCGTTCCAGGGTTGGATGCTTCTGGCAGTTTGGGTGCCGGATTCATTTTGCAGGTCACTTTGGTAGCACTGAGAGTGAGGGCTTTCTGAGTCTGGTTTTCCGCAGGCTCTTATGTGACAGCAAAGGCACAAGGAGCCTGTATCGTCGCCAAACTACGTGGGTATGATGTGCAAGACGAAAGGACTCAAAGTTTGATCCTGCGCCCCGTCCGCATGCATTGATCCTACCAAGCCACTCAAGCTGCAGTCTAAACCGCTTAGGCGTGGGTGTCCAATGGATTATATGAGGCTCTTATCCGTATAAAGAGTCTAGACTACAGATGATAACAGAATTCAGTTTGAAAGCCCGAAAGTTTAGATCATAACCCTCGACTTCGTTTGTGGCAAGACAACCTCAGCCATCTTAGGTGGGCACTCGGCGGTGAAGCTGGCTCAGAACTCACCAAGAAAGCTGTTCAAATGGCAGCAAGGGCTGGGGGAACTGCAGCTGGGAAGACGGTTCTGAGCAAAGTTCCAAACCAGTTCTTCAAAGAACTGAATAAGAAGCCCGGTGGCAGAAAGTGTTCCATGCTCCTGATGAAACTGGCCATTCCCCTGGAATGAAACGCGATTGGGGGGAATCGGGTTCCGCAGAATGAGCAATAATGGTGATTCCCCGAATTTGAGTTGGATGGAAGTTAAAAGTATCTGGAAGTAAACTGAAAAATCGAGGGATCTGACTGCAATTCTGATTCTGGCTCCAAAACACACCCTGCCTTTCACGTAAACTTGCACACCCAAGCTGGCTCCAAGGGCTTCTGTAGGGTGGTTTAGGGTTGATGGCTTCGGGCTTAGGGGTCTTAATCCAGAGCTTTGCTTAGCGCAAGCTCTATTTTTTTGCGAACTCTTGCAAGAGATTCGGTGCAAGAAGGTCTGCCACCAATGACAGCGACGCTTCGCTTGCTTAGGGCTTAGGGCTACAATGAGAGCCTAAGAATGGACTAGTGACTAGTAGTTTAGTCTAGCGCTCATATGTTTCCAGAGGTGCAAATCCGAATGCAAGTCTTCTCATGTGATGAGTTATTCTCTGCCAGGAAAGTCTGGCCTCTCATTGGTCGGCATTTGATCACGAAGGGCCCGCAAGGCGGCCAGACCTGTTCAGAAGACGTTTGCCTTCCAAGACTGCTGACCTAATTTTGAAATTTGCTAACAGGACGGCTTGTTGACTGCTAAAGCATCCCCTCGCATAAGATGTCCTGGGTTTTGTTTTCGTTTGAGATGAGCATGCTGTGATGGACCCGAACCGGATTTGAAGGTAGCTTTCAGCTGTTCGGATCCCAGGGGCCCAGAGATCGGAGAACTATTGTGTATAAATATCATCTTTCTGGACTTGTTTTGTCGCACTGGCTCGTGAACATCTCACGTAGGACCGCTTGCGTTCACACATCGCGAAACCTCCATAGGGTTGGGAGCTGCGATGACCCTCTTGTCACCAGAGGCCTGTTGTCGCTTTCCAAGATGATCCCGGCGGTGGGTTCTGCAGTGGGAGCAATTGCTGGCGCAGCCACCGATTGGTTCTTCTGCCATCAAGCGATCGACTTTGCACCTCGTCAGCTTTAGAGCTGGATGATAGCCGCAATTTTGAAGATCAAACCACTTGACTTGGACAAGCGGAGGCAGATCAAAAAGTTTTCCGCATGATCAACAAAGAAGAGGAGGACTTGCGAGAATATCTTCTTGCCAATGATTTTGAAGATGAGGTGGCCCCGCCATATTTCCAACAAAGACATGCATGCAGCTTGTAAGGTCCGTGTTGTACAGTTGTCAAGAAGAAGCCCAAGTCCACAATCAGGTTGTTGCAGTTTTCTTGCATGCGCTTGCAGCCTGCAAAATGTGCGCAGGACCTAAACATCCCTAAGTCCTGAACCCGGCCCAAAAACAAAGATGTTGAGTGTTGCTGTTGCTTCAGGTGAAGATGCTCATGGATGCCAGGTTTGACACCGAAACGATCTGTGACGCGGAGAAGTCCGATCTTCTTGACCTAGGTCTTCCTCTAGGGAGAGTTTTGAAGCTGCGCAAATTGTTATTTCAAGAAGGTGGGCTCTGTACAAAGCAGCATGAGGAGTTATAGCAGTTTTGGAGCTCAATCCAGCGGATCCGGAGATGGGGTTTTGGCTGGCGAGCTGTCTCTTTGAGATCTGAGCCCCTGACAAAATTTGTATAATGGTTTTACTATGATCCAAATTTGGGGTTTGTTGTTTGTGGTACTACTATGGCCGTCAGGGGCTCCTATCTATTTTTTCTCCGTTGGACATGGGGCTACGCAAGTAGTTTTCTCAAGTCTGAAGTAGTTAGGTAGAAGTAGCTCAGATGGGCAGGCTCGGGCGGAATTCCGCCAGTTGCCGAGCAACCCTAGCAAGCACCATGCGGCAAAGCCGGAAGAACTGTGCAGTGAGAGTTGAGAGTCAGGCGTGAGAATTCAGGGTTTAAGGAACTCTAAAAAGGTTAACCCTAAACCCTTAAGGAGCTCTAAGCAGGTGGTAGTTTGGAGTAACAACTTAGGACTCGGGAAAAGTTTAAGGGCGTCATAATTTTGTTTCACTTGCTGGTTGAAGATGAAGTGTGGTTTCGTGAGGACGAATGAGGATTTGCCTGCTGTCTGCACAAGTTGACCACCGAGCCTGTTACCGGATACGAATTTCCAAGAATCGGGGTCCCCGTACATAGTTCCAAATAGTACATGCCGACCTCCTCAAAGGGACCCCAGACTCAGACTCTCGGAAACCCCTATCTACAGCAAGCACCGCTTCACCAGTTTGCTTTCTGTCGAGGCTGCAGAGCGGCTTCTGTTGGGATGGAATCTTCCCTCGCGCATCAATCAAGACCCCGAACCCTCAATCCTATCAACCTCATCACAGGTAGCAAGCAGTTGATCTAGCCGATGACTTCTATGTTAAGACCAGTTTGTTCTTCAGTATCACATCGTTGACTCAGCAGATTTATGAGTTCAAGCCGTGGATGTCGACGTAGATACGCACTACCCGCATGCCCGGTCTGCAATTTTTGGGACAAAGCACCGCCAGAGAGGAGGGCCGTTTCGTGGGTGGCCGTGGTCGCGCGACTGGACCATCAGATCAAGAAGCAGATGCTTGGTTCAACCTGGCTAACGAAGCATCCAAGCTATGCCTGCATAGCACATGTGTTTCATGGCGGGCCCACCATGCCTCTCACTGGCATCATTCCCTGACCCTCCACGAGCTAGGGACTGTTCCTTGGACCAGTTTTATTCAGCACTAAAGGAACAGAAAGGGTACTGAGCACAGCCCAGGATTTCCCCACAGAGTGTATATAGTATACAACCTCTGAAGGTCCCAGTAGCGAAGGAGAGCTCAGCAAAATGTGCAAAAGCCACAGGATGGCTCTCTTTGTCTGCTTTGGCCAGGCTTCCGCTTTTCCAGGAATACATGCACCTGGGAAATCGTCACGCAAAGTAGGGAACGAGAAGGAGATAACAAAGACTACAGCTCCAGCAATGAGTACAGTCACGAACAGAACCGAGGAACAGCGGCTGTGGTTCGCGCCGTGGATGGGGCAAGGGCTGTAGCGTGTGAGCTTCAAGTAGAGGTCACCTTGACCTGTCTGTAGCTGGAAGCTTCGTTGACCTGGACCGAATTTTGAGAAAAATCCGGGAGTTTCTTATAATGAGCATCCCCCTATACCCCCCCTGAAGTCCATGGTAATGCTTTGGGTTTGCATGAAGAGGTACAGAACTTCAGAAGCCCCACTTGCCTGCCTGCTGCTTGTCAATCTTTAGGCTCATGCTTGTTGCTGCTGAGGCAGAAGCACCAACACATGGGGCATTGCAAAGGCCAAGCGATTTGAGGCCGTGAAGGACTGCTCAGCCCTGCACCTGTTGTTCCTTTGGGACAACAGAAGAAAATGGAAACTACTATGGGGTATATAGGGTATAGAATATAGAGTTTATCAGGATCTTATTGTAATACACCCTTGCTGGCGGTGAGCAGGTGTTGCCGATATAGGCTTTTCCTCGGGGCTAGTATGGGGACTGCTTTAGCCATCCGTTTTCTATTCCATACTCACCACCGGTCAGATCAGAAGAAGATGCACCGCTGTCCTGCAACTGATTCATTCCTCTTCCTTTTCCGCTTGCTTGAGCAATGCAGCTGATCTTGACTTCAGCTTTCACACAAGCCCGCCAATCCGACCCAAGCGACAGCATGCTCTTACTTACCTCGAGCTTATCATCTTACCGTCGCCCAGGGCTCCTGATTTGTGCACTTGAATGCGAGTCTTCCTGCTACTCGGGTAATGGAGAAATGTACATGGCCGAGACCCAGGTTTGATCTTACGTTGCATCCTACACTGCCGCTTCATTCAGAGAGCTTAACGCTCAGTAAGAAGGTGTTTGGGTTCTTGCCAGGGGCCGTGTTCGCTGTGCGCAATCGACTGCGCGTGGACCGTCCGCTTTGCCAGGAGTCGAAAAGCAACGGGGTTGCGCACAGCCCCGAAGGGCCCGCCACTTAGTGATTTTGATGGTGAATGGCAAGCACTTGTGGTTTTGAAAGTAGCAGGGACAGCAGAGACAACAGCAGCCGTAGTAGGGATTCCAAGATCTTGAAATGTTTCAGCAAAATCCTTCTCAAAACCTTGTTCCGATCATTATTGCTGATTATGGTATTGTCGTGATCTACATCTACCCCTCCAAACCCACCCTCTTTCCCAGATTCCTAGAGCAGCCTCGCCAAACCATACTAATACCCTTATGAGCTATGGTGCTATGGTCTAAAGTCCTTGAAGGGGGTTGTATAAGAGATGATAAGGGGGATCATTATAGGGGTTGTACAAGGGATACTGGGAGTTTAGACTTTCGCCGTCATGAGACTTCCACAGCATCTAGTCGCTAGTCTTGATCATAGGACTTCGTCGCTAGTCTGAACATTGTTGGATCTGTGCTGCCAGAGAATTTATTCTACAGCCGCTTCCACAAGCTTAGCGGATGGTCATCTTGCTACCATGTCTTATAAACAAAGCGTCAGTTGGGGTGCGGTACTATCATCATTATTACTATTACCTTCATTACTATTAAATTGTTACTAATGTTACGTACAAATATTACTGATACTATCATTACTATTACTGTTGTGGTCGTGGATGAGTTCTCCTGAGGTTTGAGTTGTGGCTGGAGGCCAATGAGAGACAACCTGCCCAACGGCCAGGTGCTTAGAGGGGTTCCTACATGAGCTATAGTCTAAACTCCGTAAAATGGGGTTATATAGGGGATTATGTATTTATGGGACTATTACAGGGTTCAGTGAGGGGGATACTTTGAGTTTAGATTTTAGCTCACATGCATAAACAACTTTACAATAGAAGTTCCCTGAAAAGGATACTCAATTTCTCTTATCTACAATCCTTCTTCTACCAGGGTGCCGGGGAAGGTAGAGGACACCCTAAAATCCTTGCGCGGCACGTCACATTTGGCTTGACACATGGTTGAGACCTCTCATACTTGAATGCGTCCTTCAGTTTTCCCACTTGTCTGCTTCTATCGTTGTTTTCCATTGTGTGTCTTGGAGACTTGTGAAAGCTCTTTCTACCACTTACTTGTAGTTCTCACTTGGTTGCATGACATGCTGGGGTTTAGGGTTTAGGGTTTCGGTTTAGGGTTTATGCCCAGTCGAGAGGTAACCTGCAAGCGTAGAGCCAAACAGGAAGGTAAGAAAGGTTTCGGCTTCAGAGCTTAATAAAGCAGAGATGTCGAAAGAGAACTGTACATTATTCATAGGTGGGGTTGATGTCATGATTTTAGTCGATACTGTGCCGTCATTTTTGTCGGTGGTGCTGCCATTGTTGTCGCGACTGCTGCTTCATTGTCATCACGCCAGTAGCGTTTCTGTTGCACTTGGTCTGTGCAAGGGCTGGTGTGCTCCCCTTGCAGGCAACAACCCTCCGTGCCGAATGCAAGACTTCAGGGTATGATCAGCCCATGTACACAGAAGTCCAGGGTTCGGAACTTCGGTCAGCCGACCTACTTTTATTCTTATTCTTATTTCTCCTATTGTTATCATTCTAATGATGCTTTGTGATGTCATTCGTATTATTAGGCCCTCCGCTCGAGAGTCTCCCAGGAAGAACTGGCGGGAGTGGGACCTGCAGTTGGGCAAGTGGGCCGCTATCTCAGCATGTTGGGAGGTCTCAAACTTGAAGCCTTAGTTTGTTGCAGAAGTATTCTTATGTTCGGTATATGGGTACATGACAGACAGACTGCGGGGACGCGAGCTCAGTGGTGACACAGAATGCTTTTTTTACGTTTGCCATTCATGAGAGTTTGAGCTGTCTCTGAAGCTCTGCAACCGCCATCGCCTCGTTCAGGTGTCTCGGTCAGAGGCGGGGGTCATCAGCCGCGGAAAGGCCACGTGGGACTAAGGAAGAGGAGCAGTTCAGTCGCTCGTCGCGTGAAGCTCTTTGTTACATAACCTCTGGCTGGCTCAGACAGATCCTGATGACCACTTGCCAACATACAGGCTGTCAGAAGACTGCCTTTGGACACCAAAATCTTCTGTATTTCGTCATGGGCAAAACATAATCGTCGCGATGGGCTTCTCACAATTTTCGTCGAAGAGTGGAAACACGGATTGTTCGAGACAACACCATGTTTTGGAAGGCTTACTCCAGAAAGCCGGCAGAATTATTTGGCAGGTTCGCCCGAAAGTCGGCAACTCCACATCCAAGGTGGAGGCGCCCGTGATGTCATCCAGGTACTGTATGATCCCTCCTGCAGCTTCCATGTCTATACTGTTGCTAGGCCACGGTACTGTGTCAGGCTCTTCAAGGCATGACCATGCACCACTGGGCACTTGGATTCGGCTCAAGCTTTAAAAAAGAACATTTTGAGATTTGAGATTGTGCGTGACCCACATCCGCCAACATGGGATACCCATCGGCCCCGGGAAAAGGTGGCTTTGGGGCCTATCCTCAGATGCTTGGCAGGTCACCAAGACATGCTAGTGAGCAGTGCAGAGTGCTCAGTGCCGCTACATCAAGTCTTTTTTCTTGTGTTATAGTAAACCCATATACAGTACTACGTACCAGTACGCTTCAGAACATGCACTTTTTTTGTAGCGTCCGACTCTCTGGTATTAGTGGTAGCGGTAGCGAGACGTTAAAGTTCCCTCTATCACTTGCAAACCGCCTACTTTAACACATCTATTCTCAACAGCTTGGTTACATTTTCTGTGGCGCTGCGCTTGGGAGAGTGTCAACAGCCTCTACTGCTCGTAGCTATTTTCCTTGCCGCTTTGCTCCTTTCCCACCTCCTTCTTTGTGTGTGTGATTCGCTCTGCAACTTTAGCTGCGCTGCGCTGCCTGCAGTGCGAGTGTCGAATCTCAATTGGCCTTAGCGATTCGTAATTTGCACGTGGCTGCTGCACGTTTCAATTTGTACCCCTGATGAAGTCCGTCTTGTGCGATGTTCATGTTGAACCTGGAGCCGGAAATAGATCAATTTTGGTTACAGCGAAGAACACAAAAGTCAAGATCCTCTAGCTTCCCGGACCTGCCCCTTTAAGCCCAAAACCGCAACGCCAAAGTTGCGTAATTTGTCTTGTCTAGAGTCTAGAGTATTGCAAGCAGGAATGATGCCGTCCCTAAATTAGTCCCTGTATGCTGGAATGAGCTAGGCGGGAGGGGAAAAATCCCACATCCCTCAACACTCTCCCCAAGAACTTCCTGGTGACTAGTAGGGAACAAAGGAATAAAATCCTTCATAATGCCTTTGCAATGTGTTAGACTTCCCTTTTACCTATCAACCATAACACTGAACCCTATATTCCCTTATTCCCTACGAAGCGCCAGCAAGCCATTGAGCAAGAGAATCCTAAACCCTAAATCCTAAGCCCTAAACCCTAAATCCGAAACCCTAAACCCTAAACCCTAAACCCTAAATCCTAAACCCTAAACCCTTATCCTCAACCCTAAACCC